TCGACCTTGCAGGGTGATACTAAAAAATTAGGTCAAAGATTTTCAATTTTTATTACTGATATTGTAATTTAACTTTAGTAGATAAAATCAGGCAATTTCTTTCATATTCCATAAAATTCTCGTGGCGGAGTCAGTTTGGGAGGTGATAGTTTTCATATTATGAGCCAAATATACGTTTTTTCACATAAGTATATCAATAACTCATTAGCTAGTTCTGTTTTTGCTGATTTCAATGATACAAAGTTTGATAGGTAGGTATGTCTTCAACAGTTTTCAAAAATTTCTTTTTATCTATTTTTGTCATAGGAAACAATATGTTACAAAGAGACCGTTCTCATTTTCCCTACAGATATAAAGTCCTCTTCTAACACATTGTTTCTTATGACAAAAACAGACATAATGAGATATCAAACTTTATATCATTGGAATCAGCAGAAGCACAGCTATCCAGTGAGTTATTAGTACATAGGGTGTCTCATTTGAAGAAAAAAAAACGTATGTTTGGTTCATAATTCAAAAACTATCACTTCTAAAAAAAAGCCGAGGGGTATATAGACCACAGGTCAGTTTTTGTACACCAGATAGCAGTTTTAGGGGAAATCATGGATGATTTCCCATGATGTCCCCTGATTTCCTCTGATTTCTGCTGATTACCCGCAAGATTGCCCAAGAGTTTCCCTGATTTCCTCTAATTACCCGTAAGATTACCCAAGATTTCCTCTGATTTCTATAGAATTCCCCTAATGATTACCGTTCGGCCACGTTAATTTCTGTTTAAATATTATGCAGAAACAAAAACTGATTTTTTGGGCAAATGAAAGTAAACTAAAAACAGAACACGAAACATTAACATTTATTATCGAGTAATATGAATTCTGCTCTTAAACGCAAAAATCACAAACAAAATTTGTAGGTGAGTCAGCATCCGTGCACTGACTATGTGCTCAATTCCCGCAATGAGTACATCGGTACCAAGTCTCTGATTGCCCAACGTCTTGACATATGATGCACACTTCACTGCTTTCATTATTGAAGTTAATGTCTCGGTTAATATCCAAATTATCACCATCAATGTCGTCCATGCTGTCATCATCACAAAGTTGACCAGAATTATTATTACTCGAGTCGCTTGATGACGGTGTGTCAGATTTTTAGATTTTGCTTGGGTTTTGGCTCGGGTTTTGAATTCAATTTGACTTTTTGGTCTTTGCACGTTTGCTGTTCAGTCGGGTCTTATATGTTCAAAATCATCTTTCACAGCCTGAGAATGTGTCCTCTTTTTTTTTTCTTGGAAACACAAACTCATGATTTAGATCTGTCATTATTGTGTACAATTTGAATTCGGTCAATTCGATGTAGAATGTCTTTTATAGAAAAATTGACTACTGTAGAGTATGTCGAAGACATGGACCTCGTAACCCTAAACGACTATTTTCACAAGCTTGGCTACTGAAGAGCCATGGTGTAAATGATTCTGAAGATATATCCTTTCTGTTGAAAATTCTTATTATTTTAATTAGGGAATGGCCATTAAGCTCAATAGACAGATAATAATTCTCAGCACCTATAATTTTATTTTGATAATGGACATAACAAAACGTAACATAACCTCAATTTCTAAATAGGGCAATCCAAACAGAATGGCGGCCAATGCCAAAAAATTGGCGCCATAGATTTAATTCAAACAACCGTGATCAAAAACCTGTTTTTATGGTGTATTTTGTGGTGTTTTAAGATGATTTTCTAGTGTTTGAAAGATTGGAAGGATAATTGTCGTATTTTAAGATGGAGAGTTTTTAGTTTGAGAAATTATTAATTGAAAACCCGGATGTTTGCAAAAGTTATGATTTCTTTGTGACTAACCTTCACCTACTAAACAATTAGGTAAGTACTATCCAGGATTTGTTTCCTGTTTAGTTTTTTCTTAACAAAATCCTGAATCCTGATGTATATTTTATATTTTATTTGTCTGCTATTCAAGGTATCGACACAAGTTGATGTGGAGGATAGTAAATGGCTTGGATCCATACACCCGTTTATGTAGAGAGACTTTTTGGTTTTTTAATATGGATTTCGTCAGATTTTTTTTCTTTTACTACAATCCATGAAGCCCTTACAAAATACAGACAAATCGTTTTTCTCCGTTAAAAACCTGTTTTGTCTCTGTAGGAACGGCATGAAACGAGACTTTCTCCCGATTAGAACGGCTTCCACAACTAAGTACAATACAAAACGTATGCATTTTCCAAAAAATCAACATTTTACAGACTTTATAACAAATCAAAAATCGCAATAAAACGGCATTTTTTTAAAATAAAAAGGCATTGACCTCCATTTTGAATTTCGTTTTGACAGGTCGTTGGATTGCCCTATATTTTCGAAAACTGGGCATGCGTTAGATCTAGAGATTGACTGATTGCCTTAAGATTTCCTATGATTTCCTTAAGATTTCCCCTGATTTCCTTGAGATTTCCCCTGATTGCGTTTGATTTCCTCTGATTTCCTCTTAATTTCCTCTTGAATTCCCCTGATTTCTCCTAATTTGTACACCAGATTTCCCTTGCGGTTTACCCCTCGAGAAAAGCTAACTTTGTCTAGAATCTACGTAGAAAGATCTATAAGAACCCTTTGTCACCTTTTCGATTAGCTATGAGAAAACGGAAATACAAGGGGTGTCCCGAAATACAACAAAATGGGACCCTGGCACAGGGTGGTCCAATTGGGACACGAAAAGCTTCATAACTTCATCTATGGAGATAATTGATTTGCGTAAAAACTTTCCAAAAGCACTAGTATTTTAAGCAGAGTCCAGTGATATTCTCAGTTTTTTGATAATTCGCCAGAATTTCGAGATATTGGTCAAAGTCTCATTTTTTAAAATATAACACCCTATATTTTAATAACTCATTGGTTAGCTCTGCTTTTGCTGTTTCTATGATGTAAAGTTCCATAGGTTAATCGCTAACAGTCTTCGAGAAAAAATCTGTTTTTGACATAAGAAACAGTGTGTTAGAAAGACATCTTTCTCATTTTCCTTACAGATATAAAATATGAGGTCCTTTTCTAACACAATGGTTCTTATGACAAACACGGATTTTAATTCTATTCTCAAAAACTGTTAAACATAAAATCGAACTTTATATTATTGAAATCGGCAAAAGCAGAGCTATCCAATGAGTTTTAAAAATGAAGGGTGTCTATTTAAAAATATCGGACTCTGGTCAATATCTCGAAATCCTGGCAAAATACCAAAAAAACTGAGAATGTCACTGGATTTTACTTAAAAAAAACTTCAAGAAAGTTTTTACGGAAATCGATTATTTCCATAAATCAAAAAGTTATGAAGCTTTTCCTATTAAAAGTGTCCAAATTGGACCACCCTGTACAGGGTCTCTCCATATATATTGATCCTCCCACTACAAGGTTTTCGTGAAGAGATATCAAAAAATTGTAAATACAAAAGTTTTGGGGTTTTACCTGAAATTTTTGTCAAAAACTTTTTTATTTTTTCAGAAATGTCTAATTTTGACAGATGGTCAGTTTTTTCTTATGGAACACCCTATATATGATTTTATAGTTGAGAAGAGTCGATTTTTCTGATTTCAAATATATATATGGTTTAACTACTTTTAATTTAGCCGTTTTGGAAATATCGGGGTCTAGACTTCAAGAAAATAATACATTGAAACATTATACCTAAGCTCTGTTCCAACCGACATGGAGAACCGTTCTAGAACGATAATTCCAGTCGATCAATTTTTAACTAGTCTGCGGGCGCAACTCGTAGGCTGCAGGTGAGCGTCCAATGAGAAGCGAGTTTGTTACAGACTTGCGTCATATTCTTATTCAGGGGCCAGTTCAGAATGAATAGTTCCTTCTTTCTTTGTAGCGTGTAATTCGACAAAGAGCAAACTAATACTTTACGTATATTACTTGTGTCGTTTAAGGTTACCTAATATGGGATATGCCAGAACCTGGCTTGTATTCTGAGCTTTTTCAGGTATGATCTTGCATCTTAAGTACCTCACTGTTTTATTGTGACAAACCTATAACACTATCTATTTTAGTATAAAATAATTTCTATTTAAAAATCAACAGATTGTTATTGTGAACAGTATGTACTAACAAAAAAAAAAAAAAAACTAACCATCTGAAGAATCTGCCTTAAGGGATAAGCCAATACAACCCGGAATCTATCCCGAGTGCTAGCGATATATCTCAAGTTTTTTGCGTTCGTTAGGGAGTAACCGAAACATATATAGCGGTTACGAGAAGCAGCCTGCAGGACTTATGAGCAGTTTCGCAGGATTATCGATTGCGGGTTTTGTTTCTTAAGGAATAGAGCCTTGGCTGGCTGCTAGAAGCTCGGCGATATACGCGATCGGATTGGTTGAGAGGACTACTGATATATTGCACTGCAGTGCTTTTCTTATATTAGCCAGTACATGGGCAAACTAATAACAGTTAGAAACTTTAGATATATATTTTTTTCTGTTTGAGCATATAGAGATTTTGTAACTTTCGTTTAGCATTTAAAACGCACGATGGTCATAATTTGTGATAAATATTAATGAAATTTCCACACTCTTATAAGCTAAAGGCATAGTAGAATTTTTAGCGTGTCGTACTATATATCACGCCTGTTTATTACCGCAAAGGCTATAATTATCCGTCAACGTGTTAATGACTTTCAATTAACATAAACTACTGTTTGTGGAACCTGCGACCGGTGACGTCACCGCTGGCTGATGACTTCTAGCATTCGCTAGCTTGACCGGCTATAAAATTAATTTTAACAATATTCACGGTGAATTATGTAGATTTGCTAATGGTTCCCGGAAAATGAAGAAATAATTTATGGCCGAGGGAGTTTTTGAATTGATTCCATCACTCAAAAGCATGAATTGTTTAAGATTTGAAACCATCTGGTCCAAATAAGTAGGTATGCATGGACCAGGAGGCGAGTAATTAAAAGTGTTAATTTTCTCAGCATTCTGTATCTACATACATTTAACAGCCAACAAGCGATTGACTTTTTCCTTCTTAGTGACCAAACTACATAATTCAATGGGTAGTTTTTCATAGGCAACCGGCAAATACATCCCGATAGTTAAGTAAATATAGGGATCGCTATTCTTCCCTGAATTACAATTATTTACTGTATTGTAACTGTTCAGTTACAATTGAAATAATTGCTGTTACAACAAATAATTGCTTGGGTTTTTAAATATAACAGGTATACCTGAAAAATGTCATATCCCTACGAAAACTCCACAATATTTTTATTAATTTAACATGTTGATTTATCCGTGTTGGACCAGATCGTGCCTTGTTGTCATAAAAATATAACCATGGGAAAGATATTTTTAAATTGTTGGAAAAGAACAAAACAAGCTATGTTTAATAGTTGTTGGCTTTTAATAGTTTTTAGTGCTTCATTTACGTTCCGACTTCCGAGTATCATTTTGACACCGCTAGATTGTTTCTAGTAATACACTAATTATGATTCTAGGAAAATAAATTCAATTAAAAAAGTTTTTACATGCATAAAGTTATTATTGTTTACAATAAACAAGGGTTCAATGTTCTGCTCCCTTACAATAATAGTTAGAAAAGACACGACAGTAACCCTCGGCAAGAGTTTTTCGACCCTGCCGGCTCGTTGTGACCCACATTCAGTTCTGTAGGTCAAGAGCGGCGCTCAACAACACAGTTTGCACCCCCCGTTGACCTAATAACTGAGGCTGCATGTACGGGGGCGGTTATTACAACCCCCGTTACTACTTGCTGATGGGCCGATGCGAGAGGGGTGAATGCACTTTTGAGCTTTTCTGTATTTTCTGATTTAAAAGATTAAATCTTCAACGCAAATGTCTAAGAAAAGATCTCAAAATGTATATCAACTATTTATAATTTGCTCTATTATTTATTCATAGAGCGTGTATGTCTGACGGGTTTATACATCGCTGTAAAACGAGACACTACCAATTACGGTTAATGCCAACAAATTGTAAATTATTCCAATTTCAGAAAATTGGGTGATTCACGACTCATCATCAGTTCAGTTCGCACGTTCCATCATTAAATAATTTGTTTTGTTGGCACTGGTGTTGCTGGCTGCTGATGCTTTGTCCTGGATTAATTGGGCATATTTTTCAAATAGCATAAATTATGCGTTTCCGTTGGCACTCACACACGTTTTATGATAGTGTAAAGAGGTTTCAATTATTTCATAAAGCCCGCGGATTAAAGTTTGAACGATATAAATTATATCGAAACAATCTGAAAAAAAATAATAGTGTGTAGATAAGTGCTCATAATTCCGAAAAACACAAATAATACATATTTAACAACCAACTTATTGTACGGTGTCGACCTGCGCGAACTTTTCCTTTAGAGAAAAACGCACGAGCTGTCACATTGCGAGAATTTGCTGGACATCAAAGCAACAACATGTCTTGCAATACCATGCCAGTAGCTTCCTACCTATGTACGTGCTGGGCACAGTCTTGTTGAAACCAAATTTGATTTTGCATGGTTCTTGTCTTGAAAATGTTACCTAACAGCTAAAATGTGAGCAATATGTTCGGAGTTTTCAGTAATACTTTCATAACTTTCTTTGAAAAATTATGATCAGACTATACCAAACATCCAAGGCAAGGACCACACCATACAGTGGAATATGGATGGAGAAATCTTTCATCAAACTGTTGTGGTTCTCGGACCATCAATGATATCTGCGGGAATTGAACAGGTAAATCAAAATGCAGAGTTCTTCGCAAAGTGCTGTTAGCTTAGGCAAATTAAGTATGTGCCTTGATGAATATTTCCAGGTTTTCTGACTGTATATTGTAACCTCTACATGCATTAACGATATTCGCACAGTCCCTATACCCACAGGCACATTACAATGGTTGGATCGCTGGTGCAATTCCGTTAACACCCATCAAACTGTCGCGTCTACCATGTGATTCTCACGATAGGGGAAGGAGCTCTCGAACTATCGCAAAATTCTGGCCATAGTTCCTGAGACTCTCTCAGAAAAATGCTAGGGGTAACGCTACAACACAACCTTGTTACGATAAATTTATTATTTACGTAACATGTTCTATCTCTTCTTATTTTCATTATAAAGTTGTATTTTTTTTCCATTTCAGAATCGGCAAAATAATAATTCCTAATGTTCTAAAAATATCCACAAAGTTCAAAATAAAACCGGTGCTGCCATCTATCCATCATGTGCGTAAAATGCAAATATCTAGAATTCATTTACCAGTGCTGCCATCATGTACCGGATGAGTTTATTTCTTTTTTAAATTATGATAGTTTTCCTTGGTTATTTTTATTTGATATTCATTTGTATTTTTGTTGTAAACATGTTCCAACAATCATGCCATCTCTTTTTGATGGCAAAATATCTTTATTTATTCATATAAAAATGGCAACACTGCAGCGTTGTCGTCATGTCAAGTTTTCATGTCTATTTTGTCATGTTGGTCAATATATTGCGCGCCATTTTATCATTGTAGCAGTTGAGCTTGGAGCTTGTCCACGTTAGCAAGCAACCTCCTCACATTTTACTGAATTTTATAATCTAGCTCTGCCCTGGCTTCTTGCCATCTTGTAGTAATTGTAAATAGTCGAGTAAATAGTGTAAATATTGTGTAAATTGTAAATTCTTGTAAATATAGTATCAGTGAAAAGCGCGTGTGTTTCAGTTCCCTATCCAGTCGAGTATCCAGTCGACCTAATAATACAGTCCGCTAATTTTTAATATTCCTTATGTGGTTTTGCACAATTTTCACTCAAAGAAATTATATTTATCTCACTTTTAGCAAATGGATATATTTCTGTCTTTCTCTAACTTCTGATTTTGAAATAATAATTTTTTGGCCTAATGACCTAATTAATTAGCAGTTTTTTATTTTTGACATAACCTTGATTTAAATTATTATAATTTATAAATAATTAAAATAATTCTAGTGGATTTTTATCTATTCTCTTTTATTCCACGTGGTTTTTCATTGTGAAATGAATATGATCTGTTGGGTGTACTCATCTGATTGGTTGTACTGGTTAAAATGCAGTTAAGTATAAAAAACACAGGATCGTTTTCCTGTGGGGTTTGGTTTCTAAAACGTCCTCTTTTCTCGACAGTAGCCTAGCAGGTTGGTCCTTTTTATTTTTAATAATTTTTGCTCTATATTTTTTGGATTCTCCCTCATAGATTTTTCAATATATTTTGCTAATCAATGCATATTATCATATCATTGTTAAGTTTTTACCTGACTATTTCACTAGAGTGTTTTACACTGGCAAAATGTCATAGGAACGGCCGGTTTCCTACTGACAAAACTCCTACCTGTTCCTACCACTGATCTAAAAAATAAATGGATAAGCAATTCATACGGCTTGATTGGCAAAATTTGTGCGAAAATTTGGGGTCAATATTCTACGAACAGTTGTGCAACGGAACAGCCTAACGCCTGCGCAGTGTCTTATCTTTCGAACAACTGTTCTAAATTTTGATATTCCTTCATTTTCATTGGCCAGACTTTGTGCACACACAATACTTGTATCTACTGCGCACGCTCACAGCTGTTCCAGTCAGTTGTTTTAGTTAAGATTTTGACCTCGTAAATTAGCAGCATTAGAAGCGTTCTTTGTTTATCCATTTATTTTTGAGATCAGTGGTTCCTACCTGGACAAAACCAACATGATGGTTTTTCAGCGACAAAATTTTGTGTGGTTAATGTACAAATCTATTAGGCAATTCAAACCACGTGACATTCAAGATGGCGTGGCGGCCACACATGGGCCAAAAAACATAAAAAAATATCTAGTTTCTGCCGGAATTAATAGTTTAGGTACCTAGTCAACAAATATTTTATTAAATAATGAAAATCAAAGTTATAAGCAAAACAATTTTTTTTCCCTTGTGGTATTATATATGATAAATCTTGTCTTATCTGTTCCTGAAATATAAATATTATATTTTTTTTTTTTTTAAATCTAATTGTGTGCTTTCATTCTGTGCGATTGGTAGTGCCACGTTCATCTGAGGTAAGTCAATTCAGATTTTTGGACTAATAAATAGGTACTAGTGCTCTGGTTTTCAGAATCAATTGTTAGTGTGGGAATATTGGACCCTTTTCTCTATATAGAGTCGGTGAAAACCAAATTTATGTGTCCATCCCTATCAACTCTTTATTGAATCCAGGCAGAGGCCTGAATAGCCATTTTCTGTTTGACTCCATCAATTATTATCTCGACTAAAGGGTGTATTTTTTTTAATAGAAATCCAGACAGGTCAAAAATTCAGTAAAAAAGTTTTAATTAAAACATCCCAAGAATTTTGACATATTCTGGATTTGATTGATTTCACCGTTAGGTTTATCTTGTAATATCTATACTTAGCTACCGTAATTTGAAAGGAAAATTTCGTCTATTTGGGGGAGAATCCAAAGATTTAATTTCTTATTGTTTTACTTTATTTTGTTCATATTTGCCTGCTAGTGCTACTGTCAGAAAAGCAGCATTTTGCTAAATCATAACGAGCATTTTTATTTATTCTTGCTGTTATTATTTTAATGTTACTATTATTTTTTTTTATAATAAAATATCTTTTTTTTCAATTTGCTATAGCTGTTCGTACCTGATTCTGTTGGAAGGGAGTGTCTGTACAACAATAGTTTTATATTAAATTTCAATTTCAATTTCCTTTGCAAAACACTTACTTTTTGACAGAATTCAGGGATTTAATATTCCAAATATTGGTGAACCTGATATTGCCTTATTCTTTGCTGGGTACCTACTCGACATAAAGATCACTGTTTGGAGTCTGGATCAGCTGAAGTGACGTCACCCCAGCAATCTGTCCTCTTTCCTGTATACAGGAAATAACACGAAAAGCTCCAGTTCACGAAAGTGAAACCCCAACATCCATTGAAGAGCTCCGGATTGGAAAGGTACATGGTATCAGATTCACCGGAAAAACCAAGCTGTCAACACTAAAATTTTACAGAAAGTACCATTTACTGTTACTCTATGTTACTTCATAACATTGTAAATAAAATAAAATTATTGTTTGTTGGATTTTGAGTGGTTTCATTTGCACATAAAGGGACTACACGTTATCCT